GAAAATTATTTTATTCAGTTTGAGAAGAACCAGAATAATTCTATTAAATATGAGTCAATTCAAGTTTTAATTGGTTTCATTGTTTTCTATTACATACCATACCATTTTATGTAATTAAACTGAGATATTGTCATCTTTTTCAACTTAAATTTCCTACTCTCAAAATTGGTAGTTTATTATTACTACAAAATTCTACCATGAACTCTAAATAAAAGAAACTCTAATAAAAGAAATTCAATATAAAACAGTAATCTTTTAAAGAGTAAAAGATGAAATAAAATGTGTTCAATTACTTGGAAATATACTGAAACACAATAATTGGTGGTTTGAGCATTGCAAATTACATGTACTTAAATAATTAGCACAATAGTGACATAAAGTGATGACTGCAGAAAGCAATTTTATGTATGCTCTACTTCTTGAAATATATCATCTATATAGCATTTTCATAGTCTAGTCTTTCATTTTAAGGTTTTATTAAAATTATTACAACTAAAAGAAAGCATTTAAGAAAAACTATACAACTTTGTGACTACTACTTTTTGTATTTACTAAGAATAAATTCAGTAGTTCAACGTTTACAAAGGCCAATCAAATTAGCTAACACCATCTGAACTTTTTTCCTCCTTTGTGAGGCATGCTTTGTAATATATTTCGTTTTTGGGTTTAAATTGAACTTTGTAAAACTACTAAGTAAATAGAGTACAAATGCTGACATATTACTTTCAATTAACTTAATAGCACATTGTACTCAATTGCTTTAAGTAACAATGTGGACTTGCATGTTAAATTTTGATCTAATCTTGAAAATTAAAATAGTTTCCATTAACACTATTACAAGAACTACTGTCCTTTTCCTTCTTAAACATCATTTTCTTTCAAATATTAAGCTTTAAAGGTCTCAAAACAAATAGCAAGAGTGCCACCTAGTGCTTTATAATTATGCTTTTGATATTTCTAAAAGAAAGCAGGGGTCCTGTGTAATCAAGAGAAGAGTTGTCCAATAAGGTCACCACTAGCCATATATGACTACTGACTTGTTGAAAAATGACTGATTTGAATTAAAATGTGAGGTAAGTATGAAATATAAACTTTGTTTCAAACATTAGTACAAAAAAATATATCTCATTAATGATTTAATGACTTTTAAGACTGATTACACATTAAAATAAAAATATTTTACAAGTGTGAGGCTAAATAAAATGCTTTATTAACATTAATTTTGTTCATTTACTTTTTAAATGAAGCTGCTAGAAAATTTAAAATTACATATGTGACTCATATTTGTATTGAACAACATTGATATAGATATAGAAAATTATGTTATAACAAATGTGTCATAAAGGGCAAAAATATCTTAATAAAATGTGAGATTTTATATGCTACATTCTCAATAAACTTTTTTAAAAATTAATAATGGCTAAAAAATGTTTTGTGGATTGGGGTAGGGTAAGGATCTAAAACTACCTAGCAAGTACCATGCATCTTACCTGGGAGACAAAATAATCTGTATATCAAACCCCCAACATGTAATTTACCTATACAACAAACCTGCACAGGCACCCCTGAACCTAAAAGTTAAAAAATAAAAATCACTTTAAAAAAGGAATTAAGAAAATACTTAATTTTTAAAGACAAAAATGGAATTCATAAATTCTGTAGAAAATAATAATAATTTTTAAATCTTATAGTAAATGTAGGCAAAACAACAACAAAAAGTATATGAGAAGGAAATTATTAAAGACAAAATCTGAAACTGATGAACTGAAAAACAAAATCTGCAGAAAAGATAAATAAAACCAAAAGCTGATGCTATGAAATAGCAAAAAATAAATAAATAACTACCAATTAAAAAGCATTAGACCCAGACATTTTTGTTGAAATACCTGATATTTATTTAAAGTTTTAACCATTCATGTTTTAAAAGAAGACAGCAATTGTTCCAAATTCATTTTTAAAAGCTGTTACCACAATTGCAGATAGAATAGAAAACACTTTTCAAACTGCAGTCAAAGGTTATTTACTTAGAAAAAAACAACACACAAAAAAGACTATCTTCATTTATACTAAAAATGTTCTAAATTAAAATATAAACCAGTAATATTTAGCAGTATCCAAACATTAATATGCCATGACTAACTTTGGTTTAGCCCAGAATGAAAAGATGTTTAACATGAGAAAATGTATTAATGTAACTTAGCATTTAACAAGATAAAAGAAAGTCATGATATGACCTTGTGGCAAAATAAGGTAAGAATTTGCTTAATTTGATGCAAGGAATAGTCCATAAATTATAATAAACACCCTACCTGATAAGGATATGTCTATTATCATCAATGTCATTAAGCACAGAAATAGAGGTCTCAACACCCCAATGAGGGGGAAAAAATATTGAAAAAGGAATAAAATTGTGCTTATTTGCATGTAATATAATTAACTGCATTTAAAAATTAAAGCAAAGAGATCACCAAAGTTGATGAATATAAGATCAATATGGTAAAACAAATTTTATTTTTATATATCACACGAGTATAAAACAAAATTTTGAAACATACAATTTAATATAGCAACAAAAGCTGAAAAAGAGGATTTATTTTACACACCCAAAAAATCATTTTCAAGGCATGAACACATGACATCACGTTCAACATTATTAGTCATAAAAGAAATACAAAACCAAACCACAAACTGTCACTACACACACTCTAGAATGTTTATGATCAAAGAGACAGACAATGTTGTATTGATGATGACATCAAGGAATGAAATATCTAGTATCAAAATTTTCTATTATGAATTTAAAAATTTTATCAACATTCTGAAAAATGATTTGTCAGTTTCTAAAAAAGTTAAGCAAAAGCTTATCATAAAACCCAACTAGTATACTACCCAAGGAATCTACCCAAGGAAAATAAAAACATGTTCACACAAAGACCATATGAATGTTCATTCACTGCAGCGTATTTTTAATAAACAAAACTTAGAAAAAATTCCAACATCCATCAACTTATGAATGGACAGAAAAATGTAGTATATTCATATAATGTATACCATTTGTTAAATTAAAAATACTAAAATCACTATATTAGCAAAGTAAAATAGGAATTCCTGATAATTATCTAAATTAATCCAAGAAATGAATTGAATATAAACACCAATTTCTGATTTTAAAAAATGTACAGCAAAATAGGAATAGAAGGCTTAACTTGATAAAGGCAGCTAGCAAAAACCTGCATTATACCTAATGATAAAAGACTGAATGCTTTCCCTCTTAGATCAGAAACAAGAATAAATACTTTCATGTTCACATCTTTTCGACACATTATTAAAGATGCTAGCTAAAGCAAAAAGGTAGAAAAAAAAAGAAATAAAAGGCATCAAGGCAGGAAAAGAAGAAATCCAACCACCGTTATTTGCAGAAAACATTGTATATATAAAAATTCTGAGAGAATCTACAAAAAATGATACTTTATGTAAAATGTGAGTTTTGCAAAGCTACAGGATGTAAAACCAATATAAAATCAATTATAAATGCAAGGAACAATCAGAAATGAATATTTTAAGCTATCATTATCAATAGCATCACAAATTTAAAATATAAAAATAAATCTGATAAAAAAGTGAAATATTTGTACAGTAGTAACTATAAAATATTAATAATTGAAAAATTCAAAAAATAAAAAATACAATAATTCCAGATTCACTATAGTTAACATGTCAATTCTTCCCAAATTCATCAATAAATTAAACAAAATCACAAAACAAATTAAAGCATTTTTTTTGAAAACCAAAAGGCAGATTCTAAAATTCAGTTGCAAATGCAAAAAAAAAAAGGAGTAGGAGTAACCAAAACAAGTTTGAAAAGGAAGAACAAAGTTGGAGAATAAATACTAATCAATTTCAAGACTTACAAAAGCACACTAATTAAAATGTGCTACATTTGCATAAAAACAAGCAAATAGATTAATGAAAAAGAAAAGAGTCCAAAAACAGGCCCACACATTTAGAGACAACTTATTTTCAGCCAAGGTGCACAGGAATTAATTCATCAACTAAAATATAGTCTTTATATAAAGTATGCTTGAACATTTAAATGTTTACATGGAGAAAAAAGAACTTCAATCCATCACCTACTATATATACAAATATTATTTCAAAATGAACCATATACTTAAATGGAAAACTTAAAAATAATATTTCTACCAAAACCTGAGAAAAATCATAGTGACCTGTTAAGCTAAGATTTCACAAAACAACAAATGGGTAAGTCAAGCTTCATCTAAATTAAAATCTGCTCTTCAAAAAAATCGTGTTAATAGGGTAAAAAGACAAGTGACAAACTAGGAAAAAATATTTGCAAGTCATATATCTGATTAAGAACTTGTATCTAGAATGAAATATATGGGAAATTCATTAATATAAAAACAATCTAAAAATGGGCAATGGATTTCAACAGACGCTTCATCAAATAAAACATATAGATGGAAAACAATCCTATGAAAAGATGCTTAACATCATTAGTAATTAGGAAAATGCATATTAAAATGAGAGTTAGATACTATTACACACCTATTAGAATGCTTAAAACTTGGACTAACTCTAAAAACAGACTGCAAAATGTGTAAGAATAGAAACTCTTGCACACTGCTGATGGGAATGTAAAATGGTACAACCGTTTGGGGAAACAGCATTTGGCAGTTTCTAGTACATCTTAATGAAAAAAAAAAAAATTAAAATCACATGAGTTTACTCAAGTTCTATATTTTCTATGCTCAGAAAAATCTATTGATCTATTGCTATTTTACAGAGTAGAAAAATATGCACCAAATATAATTACCAGAATATATTTCTTAGCAATATACATGAAGTTGTATTATAAGATTTAAGAAAAGGAAATTGTGAGTTATTAATGACAATTTTAGATATTAAAGATGAACTTTATTATTTGAAACTAATAATATGCACCAATTATTTAAAATGAAAAATACACAAATACTTACAATAACATGTTCCTCTAAGTGGATTACCAACATAGCGATTTTCAGAGTCACATCTGCAGAAACACAAAAACTGATTTACTATTAAACAATGCAATTCAAAAGCCTCATGTTTTTCTTCAAGTAGAAAAGTGTTTATATTCTACATCAAAACACCTTTAAGACTGATAGTTGCTCATAAGCAACTTTAGCAAAGTCTCAGGATACAAAATCAATATGCGAAAGTCATGAGCATTCCTATACACCAGCAATAGACAAACAGAAAGCCAAATCATGAGTGAATTCCCACTCACAACTGCTACAAAGAGAATATAATACCTAGGAATACAACAAACAAGGGATGTGAAGGACCTCTTTAAGGACAATTACAAACCACTGCTCAAGAAAATAAGACAGGACACAAACAGATGGAAAAACATTCCATGCTCATTGTTAGGAAGAATCAATCTCGTGAAAATGTCCATACTGCCCAAAGTAATTTATATATTCAATGCTATCCCCATCAAGCTACCATTGACGTTCTTCACAGAATTGGAGAAAACACGTTAAACTTCAGATGAAACCAAAAGAGCCCACATAACCGAGACAATCATAAGGAAAGAAAAAATCAAAGCTGGAGGCATCACACTACCTGACTTCAAACTATACCACAATGTTATGGTAATCAAAACAGCATGGTACTGGTACCAAAACAGATACAAACCAATGGAACAGAATGGAGGCCTTGGAAGTAACATCACACATCTACAACCATCTGATCTTTGACAAACCTGTCAAAAACAAGCAATGGGGAAAGCATTCTCTATTTAATAAATGGTGTTGGGAAAACTGGCTAGCCATATGAAGAAAGCTGAAACTGGATCCCTTCCTTATACCTTATACAAAAATTAACTCTCAAGATAAATTAAAGATTTTAGCATAAGACCTAACACCATAAAAACCCTAAAAGAAAACCTAGGCAGTACCAGTCAGGACATAAGCATAGGCAAGGATTTCACGACTAAGATGTCAAAAGCAATGGCAACAAAAGCCAAAATAGGCAAATCGTATCTAATTAAACTTAAAAGCTTCTACACAGCAAAAGAAACTATCATTAGAGTAAATCAGCAACCAACAGAATGGGAAAAATTTTTTGCAATCTACCCACCTGACAAAGGGCTAATAACAAGAATCCACAAAGAGCTTAAACAAATTTACAAGAAAAAGAAACAACCCCATCGAAAAGTGGGTGAAGGATAAGAACAGATAGTTTCAAAAGAAGACATTTATGCAGCCAACAAACATATGGAAAAAAAACACATCATCACTGCTTATTAGAGAAATGCAAATCAAAAACCACATTGAGATCCCATCTCACGCCAGGTAGAATGGCAATCATTTAAATATTAGGAGGCCGGGCGCGGTGGCTCAAGCCTGTAATCCCAGCACTTTGGGAGGCCGAGGCGGGTGGATCACGAGGTTGAGAAATCAAGACCAACCTGGTAAACATGGTGAAACCCCGTCTCTACTAAAAATACAAAAAATTAGCTGGGCATGGTGGTGTGTGCCTGTAATCCCAGCTACTCGGGAGGCTGAGGCAGGAGATTTGCCTGAACCCAGGAGGCGGAGGTTGCGGTGAGCCGAGATCGCGCCATTGCACTCCAGCCTGGGTAACAAGAGCGAAACTCCGTCTCAAAAAAAAAAAAAAAAAAAATTAGGAGACAACAGATGCTGGAGAGGATGTAGAGAAATAGGAATGTTTTCACACTGTTGGTGGGAGTGTAAGTTAGTTTAACCATTGTGAAAGATAGTGTGGCACTTCCTTAAGGATCTAGAAACAGAGATACCATTTGACCCAGCAATCCTATTACTGGGTATATACCCAAAGGATTATAAATAATTCTATTATAAAAACACGTGCACACATATGTTTACTGCAGCACTGTTCACAATAGCAAAGACCTGGAATCAAACCAAATGCCCATCAATGATAGACTGGATAAAGAAAATGTGGCACATTTACACCACTGAATACTACGCAGACATAAAAAAGGACAAGTTCATGTCCTTTGCAGGGACATGGATGAAGCTGGAAACCATCATTCTCAGCAAACTGACACAAGAACAGAAAATCGAACACCGCATGTTGTCACTCATAAGTGGGTGTTGAACAATGAGAACACATGGACACAGGGAGGGGAACATCACATACCAGAGCCTGTTGGGGGATAGGGGGCCTAGGGAAGGGATAGCAGGGGGTGGAAGAATTGGGGAGGGATAACATTAGGAGAAATATCTAATGTAAATGACGGGGGGGGATGGATGCAGCAAACTACTATGGCATGTGTATACCTATGTAACAATCCTGCATGATGTACATATGTACCCCAGAACTTAAAGCATAATTTGAAAAAAATGAAATTTCAAAACACATCTTTGAAAGAATAATTATAAAAATCTTTATATATGAGATAAACTAAGAAATGAAATAGTGAAGAAAAAGAAAATAAACATACATGATAGGCATATAAGGAATGTTAAAAGGCAGATGAGACATAATTATGAGCTTTGGGATATATATCCTTCCTTAATAAAGAGAAGAAGTGAAAGTCTGAAATAAGATACAGAGATATTCTTAGGCAGAAGAAAATTCAGGAATTCATAAATCCACATTATTTTCATACTTGCAGTATTCTTTGAAATTAACATATTTTCTCCAGTTTCTATACCAATTAATCTGTATTTTTAAATATTTTTACATACAGATCCCTTCCGGTAAATAACAGGCAAAAAAGATTTCTCTAACCCATACAAAGTTGACTAATATAGATTAAATTCAGGAGCTCAAACTTATTCACATAAATAGATTTTTTAAAAGTGAAAGAACATATGAGCATTCATGCTCATGAACTCTTATGTTCAATACATAAAAATATAGTTAACTATAGCAGTGGGAAAAAATCATAAGTATTTTTAAAGTTCACAAAATCTTGCTTGCCAAATAAAATTGACAATGTCTAATACAGATATGGTATAGTTTTGCATAATGATATTTCTCAGAACATTCTACAGAATAAATTATTATAAAATTTATGCACCAGGGTAACTTAATAAAGTGACTTAATATTTAAATAATATAAATTATATTTGCATATACTTATTATATATATATTTGATATAAATATATTACATGTATTTAAACTCTAGTTAAAAGTTTAAAGAGGTAAAAGAGTCTAAAATGTCTTCACTTTTTCAGAAGAGTTCATAAGAACAGGAACAGTGGAATACATATAGAATGACAAGTCAAACAGTGAAAAATTGGAGGCTAAATAATCAGATTATACATTTTTCCATCATGTGATTGCTAGAAAAGTGAGTTGAAGAGTAAATATTACTGCATATGAATTATAAAATTAAAGCAGAAATATAATAATCCTTTATAACATTAACTCTATGAAACAAAGAACCTCTATGAAACAAAAGAAGTTTGGGTGTTAGGTTTTCTGTGATATTTCCAAACACCACTTTTAAAATTTTGTCATTGATTTTAGTTTTCTGGCTTTAGAAATATGTAATAGAGAAGCAGAAAGTATGCTTTTTCCCAGCATAAAGAAACTGTTCTCTCATATTTAGAAATATGTAATAGAGAACCAGAAATGTATTCAAAGTAAAGTTAGAACCTTTGTTCTAATTGTAACTTTGTATAAATTGACCAATCTCTCCCCATTCCACCCTCCCCACAGACCTCCAAACCTCTCAAAACCTTCCCAAGCTTCCCATATCCACAATTCTACTCTCAACTTCTGTGAGATCAGTCTTTTTAGATTCTGCAGATAAGTGAGATCATACAGCATTTGTTATTCTGTGCTTGACTTATTTTACATAATATAATGTCCTCTAGGTTCATCCATGTTGTGTTTCAAATGACAGGATTTCATTATTTTTATGGATAAAATACATTCCGAAAATATATCACATATTTTTATCCATTCATCTCTTGATGGAGACTTAGATTGATTCCATATCTTGTGAATAGCACTGCAGTAAACATAAGAGTTCGTACATATCTTCAAAATTTAAATTTCAATTCCTTTGAATAAATATCCAGTAGTGAGATTATTGGGTCATATTGCCATTCTTTTTTTAAATTTTTTCAGAAATTTTCATACTGTTGTCCACGAATGGCTGTATTAATGTGCATTTCCACCAATGGTGTATGGAAGATCCTCTTTCTCCACAACCTTTCCAGTGTTATTTTTTGTCTTTTTCACAATAGCCATTCTACCTAGCATGTGGTGATATCTCATCGTGATTTTGATTTACATTTTCCTAGTGATGAGTGATGCTGAGCTTTTTCTTCATGTATCAATAGGCCATTGGTATGTCTTCTTTTGAGAAATGTCTATTCAGATCTTTAGTCCACTTTTTACTATTTGTGGGGTTTTCTTAGCTATTGAGTTGCTTGGGTTCCTAACATATCTGGATATTAATCCCTTGTCAGAGGCATAGTTTGCAAATATTTTCTCCCATTCTATAGGTTGTCTCTTTGCTCTGTCGATTACTTCCTTTGCTATACCGAAGTTTTTATTTTAATGTAATTTCTCTATTTTTGCTTTTGTTGCCTTTGCTTTTGAGGTCTTTTCCAAAACAAACAAATAAAATCCTTCCCCAGAGAAATGTAATAAGCGTTCCCTCCATTGTCTCTTCTAGTAGTCTCAGTTTGAGGACTTAACATTTAAATCTTTAATCCATTTTGATTTGATTTTTTTTAAGTGGTGACAGATGGGGTCTAATTTCATTCTTCTTAATGAAACTTTTTCCCAGTCTAACTTATTAAAGAAACTATTCTCTCCTTAATGAGTGTTCTTTTCACATGCTTGTTGGCCACATGTTATCTTCTTCTAAAAAGTGTGTATCCATGAACTTTGCTCACTTTTTAATGGGGTTGTTTTTTGCTTGTTGATTTGTTTAGGTTCCTTATAGACTGTAGATATTAGATCCCTGTGGGATGCATAGTTTGCAAATATTTCTCCTATTTTGTAGAATGTCTGTTTACTCTGTTGGTAGTTTCTTTTGC